CACACACACACACACACACACACACACACACACACACACACACACAGGGAATTACAACGACATTTTCACAGTCGTCACAAACACAAACCAAATGTTAAAGAGTTCAGATTTTCACCTCCAGATTTTTATCCTTCCATTACAGTAGTTTTGCATGATCCACAGTTCACAATAAAAGCCATCCTTCCAGCCAGCCTTACAGTTTATAGTATATAGTATAGTATATGAGCTACATGACAGAAAATAAAGAAAAGCAGAGCAGAGGCATCTTAATAATTTGTTCCATTATTTATCAAAAGTCCCTCTGATATAATCAGTGGTGTTGAATAACATCCAGTTTCACACGTGATAAAGTTCACCTACACACACACTGATCAATAATTTTTGATCTTATCAGCTTTGTGACAATATGGAACTAGATAAGGTACTGTACATGTGGCCAGTTAACCTACTGACAGTTGGTGGGTTTCTATTTTTAGAGTCAGACTAAAAGTGAAGGCTAAAATGAAATGAAACTCACAGACAACAATGAACTGCTCAGATTTTCAGGACTCTTAGATCATGGGAATGTTTCTGTAGAAATCCTTAAGAATTTCTGAACTGTCCTTATTGAGGATCTTAACTTCCCAGTAACTCATCCAAACCTTCTTCCAAGCTCATCTTTAGAAGTCCATACAACCCTCTTAATAACAGGTTTATCAAGCGTTCCTGGAACTGTCACATTACCAACCTTAAAGTCACCTCACAAGAGAATTTTATCCTGCTTAATGACATCAGCACTTTCACCGGAAAATCCTCAACCATCCTTACGGATTCTCACAGCACGACCCACCCCTTAAATCCAAACCTCAGGCTTTCACTCATTCTGTGATATTCGCAGGTGACGTGCTGCTAATGTTAGGAGGATATCCCACCATTGAAGAACTGCTGCAGCGCCTCGTTCTCTCCCAGGACCTGGGCTGGCAGCCGGCTGGCTTCAGGATCCATTCAGCACAGTAGGGGGCGCTGCAGCGGCAGAGCACAGGATGAGGAGAAAGTCCAGCAGAGCTCTTCACACTGAGAATAAACAAAAAGGTAAATTTTTATTGAATTATTATTATTTTTACCAGCACACACAACAACAGGGCGATGATGTTAATAACCGCTGCATGTTGACGATGTTTGTGCAAAGCTTTTTTGGCCCACCGTCCAAGAAGGAGGAAGGGTGCATACAGACTTACATATATGCATGCATCATTATAGTGAGATTAAAGAGACAAAATGTGATCACAACATAAAATACTTGAGGCTGAGCTCAAACTAAAAAGCAGCAAAACTTGAAGCACAGACTGTAAATAACCTGCTTTTTGGAGCGTTTTGGTTGTCGCCATGTTGGTGTTTGGAGCTAGAAATGATTTGACTTGGAAGAGAGGATGCAATGCCACACTAGGAGCTACTGGTGGACTGCTTGGTTAGTGAGCTGCATACATGAATGTTGTGATTGCCATCAAAGACTGAAGACAAGGCAGATTGTTTACTTGTTTACCACACACATAGATCCTGCCACACAGATTAACCACACAGCAAGGGATTTTAGTTAACTGCACCATTCAGTGTGAAAAGGCAGCTGTGGCTCAGGAGGTAAAGCAAATGACCTGCCAGCAGAAGGTCAGATCCTGAACACCAAATTGCTCTTGATGCTTGTCTGTGTGTGTTTGAGAGACCATTAGGTATAACTGTGTGTCAGTGGGTGAATGTAGTTAAATGTGCTTTAACTGCTTGGGGTAGAAACTCATTTCTTTACATTTAACAAAACACACCATCGTTCCTGACTTTAACCTTTATCTGTATTTGTTGTCTGAATCACAGAAAGCAGTCACGCCACCATCCACGCTATGTTTGCAGATGAACCACAGTCAGGTGGACATGTCAGTATCTTAGAAAGAACTACTGACTTCTCTTCATTGGCTCCCTGTTATTGAATATGTTACCAAACAGACAGACACCTTCTCTACTTTTAAGATTAAACTTAAAACTTTCCTTTTTGATAAAGCGTTTAGTTAGCGCTGTATCAGGCGATCCTGAATCTGATCTGCATTTAATCATTACTTGTTAGTAATCTCTGGCTCTCTTCCACAGCACGTCTTTGTCCTGTCACCCCCAAATGGTCACGGAAGACCACTGCCCGTACCTGAGCCTGGTTCTGCTTGATGTTATTTCCTGTAAAAAGGGAGTTTTTCCTTCCCACTGTTGCCAAGTGCTCATAGTTTTCTCTGCATTATTGTATAGTCTTTTATAAAAAGCACTGTCAGGTGACTGTTGCTGTGATTAAGTACTGTATAACTGAAACTGAATTGAATTAAAGCTGCCTGCTTTAACCTGTTTTTTGTTTTGAAGATGGACAGCTGCTCCGTCTAATCACCTGCAGAGAAAAGGCCTTCTTAGAGAAAGCCTATACACAAATACAGCATACATCCATTTATGATTGCTTTAATTATGTATTTATAATTTCAGTTCATTCATCAACTTACTCTGAAAATGGTTAAAAGCAGAAAAGTGAGAACACACTTGATTTGTTTTTATTGGTAATGCGTGTCTGACGACACCTGCAGTCAATAAATCACCTGAAATGTCCTGTTTAAACAGCTCAGATCTGCTGGGACATGTTTGTTCAAACACACCTGTCTGCAAGATGGCCGCCAGTCAGTGGTGATTTCAGACTTTATCCAAGCTGCTGTCTTCAGGTACAATCCATGTGTAAGGACGGATTCAGTGTTCCATGTTTCAGATCCTCAAAGACTCCCCAAAGTGTCCACTGTTCCTCGTCTTTCTCTGTGTGTGCAGCCGAGGGAAATCCCTCCTTTAAAGAATAAAAATGTTTTCTTGTGGTTGTATGCGGTGCTGTGTGGATTGTCTCTGTCTGTCAGCTGGACTTTGAGCTTTGAACAGGAAGAGGCATTCGCACACCTGACAGAGGCGGACATCCATAAACCAGCCAGTCATATTCTGGAAGCACACGCATGCCGAGCCTCTCTGTAAATGTTGCTGTACTTTCTTTCTCCTCATCACCTCGTGATGTTTCACAGGGGGAATGAAAAAAAGTGTTAACAAGCTGAATGAAAGCATCCACACATCAAAGGCTGCTGTTTCTGTCTTTGCTGTGCAGAAATTCAAGTTCGCATTTATACATCTGCGAAGCTGAGGGTGTAATGTGTGATTAAGTGGTTCGGTGTGAGTTTCAAACAATTACATTTCTGTACTCTGATAAATATTCCCTCCGACACACCACACA